GCTCTGGCCCTGAAGCCTCGGCAGCCAGGTCAGCTAAGGAAGAGCTCTCGGCAAGCACGGTGCCACCCGCAGCCCCTAGTGGGGCAGCCAAGTCAGATTCCCAGCTGTTCAGTGAGCTCCTTGAGAGGGAAGGGCTGCTGTTCCCAGAGGTGACGGAGGAGCAGATCAAGGGTAGGTGCCTGCTCCGTGCTGGGGAACACGGGTCCGCTGCGTCGACTGAGGGAGGCCCTGGGCAGGGCATGGGAGGCGTCGGGAGGTTGCTGGGGCAGGGGGGAGGGCTGTGGGTGCTGGGTCTGGGGGTGTGTGGTACCCTGGGAGTTGGTGTGGGTGTTGCTGCTGCCTTTGACACCTGTGGCCCTGCCTCCCTCCCACCAGTGTTGGGCAGCTGTGAGGGGGTGAGAGAGAGGGGCTCGCTGGCCAGGATTGCAGCCATCGTGGACACGATCCAGAGCAGCAGCTCAGAGGTGGGGCTGCAGTTAGCTGGGCTCAAGCAGATCGTGAGGATCCTGGAGGAGGAGCCAGAGCTGGAGCAGCAAGTCAACAAAGCCCAGGGCAGGCTGGGTTCCTGGAGTGCCAGGTGAGCCATGGGATGGGGTGCACCTCTCCTGCTGCCAGGGGAGGGCCATGTTGGCAGGGCAGGGGACAGTACCGGAGGTGGGAGTGCAGGAGGTGTCAGGGGAAGCGTGAAGGCCAGTACGTCCTCGCGTGCTTGTCAAGAAGAGGGTGGATGTAGTGTCCCCTTGTCCTGGGCAGTCTCATTCCTGGGGCTGACCCAGCTGGGGTAGAGCCATGTGGGCAGGGAGACAGGGCCTGGCAAGGGCTGGGGTGCTGGCGCGCCAGCAGCAGCGCCAGGAGGCTCCTTGTTAGGTTTTTGCCATGCAGGGAGAAGCTGGTGAAGGTGACAGTGGAGCTGCTGAGCGCGGAGGTGGCAGAGAAGGCACTGGTGGTGCTGGTGCTGCGGCTGCTGGCCCTGCTCATGGCCAAGTACGACTGGCGCGTGCTGTTTGCCACGGAGGGCGGCGTGCGGGCCGTGCTGGCAGGCATGAGGCAGCACGGCTCCTCTGCCCTGGTGCAGCAGGCTGGCCTGGCGGTGAGTGTGCAGGGGGAGGCTGCAGGCTGGTCCGAGGGCGGCAGAGATGGGCGCTGCCCTCCCGACTGCTCTTGCTGTTGCAGGCCCTGAAGGTGCTGTTGGGAGCTGTGGCCGGCAAGCCGGGAGGGGCCGGGGGGGCGCCCCTGCTCCTGAGCCGCCTCGACGCGCAGATGATGCGGGAGATCTTTGCCAGCATCGGCTCTGCCTCCAGCAAGTGCTCGGCCAGCCTGCTGAGCGCCATCCCCGCTGCCATCAGCACCATGCAGAGGGTCCCAGGGTAGGGGCAGAGCGAGGGCAGCGGCGGGGGGCGGGACGGACCCTCGGCGTGGGGAGGGCAGTCCGGGCTGCGGTGCAGGGAGGTTGGTGCCTGGGGAGGAAGGCGCCCGCATCGCTGTGTCCCTGCAGGGGCACCTCGGGTGTGCAGAACGGGCTGCTGGTGGTGACCATGCTGATCGAGAGCCACCGCGGGCTGGCGGAGCAGCTGGCGGGCTGCGGGGTGGGGGCGGG